CCTTGACCCAATCCATTGTACGGTTTGAGGTTCATGTAGGTTGACCTTATTCTTGGTCGATCGTAAAGAGTGCACTTATTATATGAAAAGGAGGACTTACCAATGTATCTTCCTGAATTTCTGTAATTTGTATCTTCTATTATTTTTCTTGTATCCTTTATATCTTTTATAATTTGTATCTTCCATGATCTTCTGTAATTTATAAAGGTATAACAATTTTTTAAATATTCCTTTAAATATTTTTTGAAATACCTCGAGATCACGGTTATTTTATGTTACATATGTTACATTAGGCATTGCAATGAAATAAATTTTAGGTAAATAAATAGCGTGAAATTAACGCAAAGAATAAACGGAACATAATCTTCCTTTAGATACATGGAAGCACAACCGGAAGCGAGCATGGCTTAGGGCGGTGTGACGAGTGCTACGAGTGCTTTCGCACATTACCCCTCGCAACAGGCCAATTAGCACCGTTTCAGGGTCCGATGTGAACGGTCATCTAACTTTCACGTGCAGTGTAACCTGTTACTAAGGACAATCTGTGCACCGAACGAAAAGTCTCATTGAATAATAAGTACATATTTCGGACCATCCTCCTGTAGCCAATTAACTTCACCGAAATCCCTCTCTAATTACGTTTACGTAAACTTTCCGCGTGGTAAACAATTGTTATTTATTCAGAGACAAAGCGGATCGTCGTAAACAATTTTGAGGAAATAATACAGGAATATTCCACATTTTTGGGAATTTTTAGGCGAAACGGGGATAAGGCGGTTAAATAACGAGGAACCTTCGTAACTTTTTCCATGGTCGATAGGTATACTGAACTAATGCGGAAATTAAGCAAGCGTCGTGCGTATCTATGCAAGCAAAGATTGATCCCTGGTGCATTGAAAGCTACATCGTACGTCCCCGTTTGCGGCTTAACAAAACCCGCTCATTGCATTCGAGGCAGCGAGGGATCCCTCGAAATCCTTTAAATTCTGAATCGAAACCATCACGCGAAACCCATCGCCGTTTATCTGCACGTGAAATTCGGCCTGTCGAAGAAAATTTGTTCACTCGTCGTTCCTATACGTTCCCCGGGAAAGCAGTCAGAGAGTTATCTCCTCTGTGCCTCCTGTACGCGATGATTAAATTCTTGTTAATTATTGGTAAAAATTATCTTGTATTTACTTTCATTTCGTATTACTTTGTGTTCAGATGTAAATAATGTCAAAATCAGAAGAAAACAAATGTAAGGTAAACTGAGTCACGGTATCACAAAACTGTGTAACGAAGAAGAAGAGTCGGAAGCTCTTGAAGAACAGAGAAATATAGGGAGGAAAATGAATAAACCAAAATTGTTATTGACAGCTTATATGTGCCTATAATTGTGAAAGTGGTCTAAGTCATCGACGTAAGAGGAACGATTTTATCATATATTTCGTGTTTCATTCATTTACATTAGGATAAAATATATTTATTTTCTACGAAACAATGAAGAATTGAATCGTTAGATTGAGTTTGTTGCTTTATCGCAATTAATTTTATAATTTATGACGTATTTAAAGGCCGAAGCTTTTAATATTACAGAAGCAAATATAATTCGTGTTTCATTCATTTACATTAGGATAAAATATATTTATTTTCTACGAAACAATGAAGGATTGAATCGTTAGATTGAGTTTGTAGCTTTATCGCAATTAATTTTATAATTTATGACGTATTTAAAGGCCGAAGCTTTTAATATTACAGAAGCAAATATAATTGACTTAGACCACTTATAGGCACGTATGCCAATGATGTGATAAATTTTAAATGAAAAAGGAAAAGGAAGAATATAAAATATGATTATTTATGTGGCTGTATATGTGTGAATGAGAATGAGGCTGAATAAGTGAAACTCATTTGCGATGATATAACTATAATATGTACGAGTACAGTCTAGTATGAATGATGTTTGAAAAAATGTTTAGAAGAATGTGCCAGAATAAAACAGTTATGTAAGAATCGCCAAAAGGTATGAAATCAAAGAGTATGAAACGGTTAATAAAAGTGAGAGAGAGAGAGAGAGAGAGAATTTTCTAGAAAGTGCCAATTAATTTTTCGTTTAAAATAGTTTATTGCGAGTTGTTTTCATTATTTAAATATTTTTATCTAGGTATAGTAATATATTAACTGTTAAAAAACGTAGAAGATATTGGTGTTCATTTCTATGCACAATTTATGTTCCTCAGAAGGCGAAGAATATACAAAAATTCGCGAATCGTCAATTTGTTCTTAACTTTTGTCAATGATATACGTGAACCAAGTATTGCACACGATATATACAGGGTGTTCTCGAATAAGCTGTAAAAGCGGGCTAGAGGGGATTCCTTATGAAGAAATGAGAAATATAAAAAGAATAAAATTTCTTTGATGGCGAGATAATCAAGTTCGAAAATTCGCTTCGTGTTATTTTTACTTGTGACTGACAAGGAGAGTGCAAGTCCTTCGGGTGATTGATTTAGTTGAAACTTTGCAAGTTTGTAGATTCAGTCATCTAGTTGAAGAAAATATGTCATTATAAGGGCAACTACTCGATAGTTTTTGAGATATTTATGATTAAATCTTTATTATTCTTAACTAGAGATTTCTTTCAATAGTTATCGATAATTATCATTGTAGCCTGACAGTAGCATCCGAAAATTGACACCATATCCAAATTTTTGCACATCGTCATTAGGCCACAACGGCACTTGATAAACATTCGAAATAATCCGTAATCAAGGCAATAGTTAAACTCTAATCATAAATATCTCGAAAACTATTGAGTAGTTGCCCTTATAATGATATATTTTCTACAACTGCATGACTAAGTCCACAAACCTGCAAAGTTTCAACTAGATCTATGACCCGAAGGACTTGTACCCTTCTTGTTAGATCGAAAGTGAGCACATGCAAGAAGATCGAATGTAAGGGATGTTTATGACAGAGCCGAATGCGATAAACGAGTGGAAGTTCATGAATGCGTCATGTGTTCGACAAACCTGGCCCCCCAAGGTTGCGTGGGAAAGGGCATGATTGAGAAAGCAAGCCTGAGTACGAAAGAAGACAGAGTGCAAGGTTTAACCCTTTACGGATTACAGCCGCATATATGCGTTCTCTGTAAATCATTAATTTCGCCGAAGGACTCGAGTATGCGTTTGGCGAAAAGAACTGATAGAGCCGAAAGACCCATATACATATGTCTCACGTGGTCACACATGCCTAGAATTTGACATCTTGGAGTGCTATCGACGAAAATAGCGACTAAGTAAAAATATGCATTGACAATTTGAAATGCCTATTATGGCAGCAACTCGACAACATGGTACGGTTAACTTCGAACCGTCCCGTCTGTAAAGGGTTAAATAAGGGTGCGAGGATGTGGAAGAGTCAGAGTGTGTTTCAGAGTCAGTCAGAGTTTTTGAGAGATAGCGAGTGAGAGTCAGCCGAGAGTTATTAGCGCTTAAAATAAGTTTTAGTTTAGAATAAATCATTTTTATGTTTATATCTGTAGCGACCATCATTCTCACTAGATGGATTCCAACTTCGAGGACTTTCTCGCAAGTCCTTGGAAACTTCCGTTTCCTATACATATAACTTCCAAATCTCCCAATAGTATCCTGGTCTAAGGCAGGACCTGCTAGGGTAGCCTTACTGATGATTCACTAACAGGCCCAGGACGAAATGCATCCCATCCTTTTCCTTCATCGAGAATACCTGCGACAAGGCGACTATAGTCTCGGGAGGGGCCCCACAGGTGTATTCTGGGAACATTGTTGATCATCGATTATTCAATTAATTCAATCGTTTGACGACAACTTCAACAAAACCGTGATAGGATCACGGATCCCATACACATCACTGCTTATTCTGCTGTCTAACCAACATTCCTACACTTAGGATAATCTAAACCTAAACATCCGCCCGAGTCGTTTAGTCTCGCTGCCTTTTATTCCGATAACCGTGTTCTCACTTCTATATACGTATAAATTTATTCGAAAAATAAATGGGGACAAAGTTTGGCTGAGACCCAAGAAAAATAGCCTCGTGACTTACAGGATCGCGCTGTTCAGCGGCCGCGACCACCACCCTCTCAGCTAAAGTATCGCTACCTAATTGGAAGAAGAGCACCCAGCGGTCCCATCTTGAGATAAATTGACAAAGGCACGCACGTTTCAATTCCCTGGTGCATTAAAGATCGATATCCCAGTGGTGCACCAAAGCGAAGATTCTTCTCCGGCAGTGTAAACATATCCTACAGAGAGATACGTCTGTGAAACGCAGCGAAGAGACGCGAAGAGACGGCGAGCAGTGGAGGGAAGAAGCGCCGGTACAGGAGAAAGATTCTCTTTTGCCTATATCTGTTTTCCACTTTTTTCATCCCCGTAGCAGGCTATGCTTGTACTCCTCTCCGTCCCGTCTCTTTCACCCTTTCTCTCCCTCTTTTTTCACCCTGCCACCCTCTCGCTCTCCCTCTCGTTCCTTTTCCACGCTCTGCCCTTCGTCCTCTTCTCCCCCAGCCGTGGCCGGTCTTCCCGTCCCTTTCTTTCCATCCTCGCCTCAAAATGTGGCATTCAACAGGGCTTCTACGGTGCTTGCGGTGGTGCGGAATCCGCGCCGGTTTGCCGCGACGCGGGGTGCACCGGGGAAATGATGCGCAGATTGGCCGGATCATCTCAAAAACCACCACCCTCTGCCTCCAGCCCTCCTCCTACTACCGTTCGTCCCCTCTGATTTCTCTTTCTCCCTCTTTCTCGCTCTCGCGCGCCTCTTCGCCCCCTCTCTCTCGCGCCGCAACGCAGGCCCGTGCTTGCCTCTCTGTCGCACCCGTGTCTCGCGCTCTCGTCGTCGACGGTCGCCAGGGATGGAATACAACCCCCACTTTCGGCACTGCCGCCGAACAACCACCCTGCCACCGCTGCCTGCCACGGTGCCCGACGACGAGTGACTGAGTCCTCCGATTATTATCTCATTTGCTGGCACGAGCAGCACGCGACGCTACTGTCGCCTGGCCAGGATCCGTAGATCGCTGCCTCTGGATCACCGCCGAGGAGAACCGGAACTCGTAACCACCCCCGACTTGCAACCTGTCGCCGCGTGTACAGGTGAGTCGAACGTTCTGCTACCGATCTCGTCTGTGATTATTCCTATTCCAGTGCCCACCGTTACTTTTGGATACGCGCATACCTTTCAATCGCCCTTTGTTTTCCTTATTTTAGTTCTTCCGCTTACCGACGGTTCGTGTCGCTCTCTTTTTCCGGGTTGTTTGTAACGTTCGTTGTGAAGAAGAGGTTGACGTTGTGAGATCGTTCAGGATTGGTGTTTTTGTAGAATGGTGTTGGCCAAGGGCGTTTAGTGATCGCGATTTTCAGGTGATCCGAAGGTTTATTCCACCCTTTTTCGTTAGCAATGTACCACGGTACGTTAGGGTACACGTGGAGAATTCGTGGAGGATTCGTTGAAAATTGAACTAGGGTAAAATAATGGTAGAATCGAGTGGAAGTTTAGGTATAGTTTGTGAATATTCGCGTCATGTTTGTACTAAAAATTATTCTTCGAAGTGTACATGCAACGAGTGTTCTACCGTATGGAGATAAAATTTGGAAGAGTCAGAAATTAATTCTTGCTGAGAGGGATGATCGAGTAACTTGGTGGTTGGATAGTAAAATGAATAGAAAAAATAAGGCTGGATATAGAGGATCGACCGGAAATTAGCATGTAACGCGAGTATGTTGCGAGTATCGCGTGTCCAGTAATAATTCATCTTGCAATCCTAGATTGGTCCCCGTACCCTGCTTTGAACCGCGTGTTTTCCTCTGTGCGATAATACCGATTACATGTCCATCATATCTCTCCATTCGACTGCGTAAAGATGATGAAAAATAACTTTCAAATATGTCCACTCCATTTTCGTTTATCCTCGAAACAGGAATCATTCGGAAATAGTTTAACAAATTATAATTATTCCTTTGATAAATCCTTAAATGAAACATTTAGAAATTATAGAAATTCGAACTCGGATACTACAATAAAATTCGACGTTTCACCATTTATTAACACTTTCGAGACTCAAATTTGGATATTCTACATTAAAGACCCAAAAATGCAAAAGTTTCTTTCATCGAATACAGTATATAATAAATTCTTAAATAAAATATTTCGAAATTATAGAAATTCGATATTTCACGATTTATTAACACTTTTGAAAATCAAATTTGGATATTCTACGTTAAAAGTTCAAAAGATTCTTCCATCGAGCACAGTATCTAATAAAATATTTATAAATTATAGAAATTCGATATTTCACTATTTATCGACACTTTCGAAAATCAAATTTGGATATTCTACATTAAAAGTCCAAAAATGCAAAAGATTCTTCCATCGAGCACAGTATCTAATAAAATGTTGATAAATTATAGAAATTCGATATTTCACGATTTATCGACACTTTCGAAACTCAAATTTGGGTATTCTACATTAAAGATTGAAAAATGTAAAAGATCGTTTCATCGAATACAGTATCGGAAGATTTAATACGAATGCCCCTTATCATCTTCAACGAACAATTTCTCACCAGAAGAATCTCGACCAGCATCTCATCGAACCAATTAATCCTCCCTTTCTTCCATAATCTTGCGCGGTTATCGATTGTACCGCAATTTGTGCACCCTCGAAAGCATTCAAATCCCCTGGCCGTTCCTTTAAACCACGATACGCCATCGCGACTAATCTTAACCGCTAACGAAAGAGTTCGTATCGGCGCTTTGGGGTTTATTTATCGCCGGTGTATCCCCGTGTTTCGCGTCTTTCGTTGCGTGCGCGTACCTTTTTCCTTTTCTATTCCTCCCTGTTCCTTTTTTACGAGCACACGTACACACACGGAGAAAAAGAAAGAAAGAGAGAGAGAGGAGGAGAGGATGTTCGAATTACGCAGAGAGTTCAACCGTAAAAAAACCCAGTTCCACTGCGACTGACATTTTTTTCTCTCTATGTAAAGCGAGATCGTTCCGCGTCTGGTCGCAATAAAAATGTTTATGTGGACAGTAAAGGGATGGTCGTTCCTTCAAGGGAGAACGTATGACGCGTGGGTGTAAGGAGAAATCGGTCGGGATACGTACCTGGGTGAGAAATTAATTCGTCGCCTTCTCACCACCCAAGGACACCCTTACGACACCATAATCGAGCGCCCCGTTGATGCACACCGCTCTTTATTGCCTCTGTTGGTCCATTATTTCGTGCAACCCCTTATCTAGGATTCTTCTACTTAATTACGCGAGCTAAGGGAATCAAAGGCGCGCAAAACTAATCGACCGTTAATGAAACGATACGCTAATTGCGGCAGATGTAGGTTTGATGGCACGAATTGCTCGTAGTAATTGCTGGCAGCCAGGTATCCCATCACGATTGCAATCCGTTGCGAATATCGGTATTTGATTTTATTTGTGTTTCGTGTGGTACTTAAAAGAGAGAGAGAGAGGGAGATGAGTTGCGAAGAATAACGTGTAACGTGTGAAATATTTTGGATACGTGCGTGAACGTTTTCCTTCTCTGATTAGATTTGCTAGGGAATATTGGAAATATTATTTGCTCGTAGGAAGAAGAAGGTGAAGTATGAAGTCATATGGCAATATGATAATATTCGAAACAGACAACGAGGGGATATAGGAAATTATTGGAGGAAGAAACGGGAACGAAAAGTGATTGATACGATACTGCGAATTGTACAAAACGAATTATAATTTAATACGAAAAATGTGAAGGAAGAAACGGAATAAAGTTCGAGGAAGATAAAGAAATACACAGAAAATTTATACAAGAAATAAACATGGAGATTGTAGGAATAGTAAAAATTGCATAAACCAAAAGGTGCAACGAGATAAAATTCGAAGCAGAGAAACGAAGAAATTTGGGAGAATTTTTTTATTTATTTTCCCTTTATTATTTGTGTCTATTTAAAAATATTAACAAATATTTGTATAAAGATCAATAGCGTTTGACTTTCGTCCCTTTAAATGGCGAGTAGTACAATTAACTTGTAGGAATACTAAAAATTGCATAAACCAAAAGGTGCAACGAGATAAAATTCGAAGCAGAGAAACGAAGAAATTTGGGAGAATTTTTTTATTTATTTTCCCTTTATTATTTGTGTCTATTTAAAAATATTAACAAATATTTGTATAAAAGTCAATAGCGTTTGACTTTCGTCCCTTTAAATGGCGAGTAGTACAATTAACTTGGTGACATACGTATAAGAGATGTGTTACGATTCTAGTAATTCAGAAGGAATGCAGGAAATTTTTGAATTTTCAAAAATTTTGGAATTTCGACGCAAAGTGATTGAAACGATGCTGAAAATTACACGAACACGGGTAAATTGAAAATAGATAGGAGAGGGATACGAGAAGCTTTTGGAAGAGAAGAAGATAAGGGTAAAAAGTGGTGGAAACAATCGTAGGATTTTCACGAAATGAAAAGCGACGCGAATTCGCGAACACGGAGAGGCGAATCGGGGAACGCGAGGCACGAGTTAAAATTCAAAAGAAAGGAACAGCGTCTGAAGAAACGATTTAAGGAAGAAGCCAGAGGAGGCAACGAAAAGATGCAAAACACCGAGGCGTGCAAAAAGGAGGACTAAAAAGCAGGATCCATAAGGGGGCGAGTAAATGAATAAAAGCAAGAAAAGCGTAAAAGCTTGCGTCAAACCTGAAAGCAGATGCTGCAAGGCGGAATGAGATAAACAGGCAACCCAAACAGGAAGAAACGACGCGAGATAAAATTAAAAATAAATAAATCCTTCTTACGAAATCTCTTAAAAACGACCATACAATATAACCATGCAATATACAAACAAAGCAGCCAATCGATTAAACGCAACCGATGAAACAACCATAAAAGCAAAACAAAACCCTAAACATGTACAAAGTCTAGTCACAAAAGAAGACACCACGAAGCCCTAACAAAAGGGATGAAAGACCGAAAGAAAGCGGCAAAAGAAGCCTCACGGGGACGGCAAGGCTGTAAAACCATAAGATAAAACAACGATATAAATATGTAGATAAAAATCTAATCGTAAAGGAAATTAATTCTTTTGCTCGAAGACCAATAGGATGGAAGAAAAATGAAAGCAAAGGAAGCGATATGCTTCGAGGTATACACGCGAAGAGATAAAACGGCCACTAGAGTGCAGCAGGGTATAAAGCAATGGCGTAGAATAGAAAAATAAATATCCGAAAAAGGATGCAACTATTAAAGAAATTAATTCTGCCAAAGAGAAGGAAAGGAGACAAAAGAAGCTACGAGACCACAGCGAGGTGTGCAGACGAAGAGGAAAGAGGAGGAGAAATTGAGACACGCGGAGAGAGGTTGAAAAACCATAAGATAAAACAACGCTATAAATATGTAGATAAAAATCTAATCGTAAAGGAAATTAATTCTTTTACTCGAAGACCAATAGGATGGAAGAAAAATGAAAGCAAAGGAAGCGATATGCTTCGAGGTATACACGCGAAGAGATAAAACGGCCACTAGAGTGCAGCAGGGTATAAAGCAATGGCGTAGAATAGAAAAATAAATATCCGAAAAAGGATGCAACTATTAAAGAAATTAATTCTGCCAAAGAGAAGGAAAGGAGACAAAAGAAGCTACGAGACCACAGCGAGGTGTGCAGACGAAGAGGAAAGAGAAGGAGAAATTAAGACACGCGGAGAGGGGTTGAAAGGGAAATCGTCCCTAGGAAAGGGTGGCCGGGAATGAATTAGGAAAAGAGACGAACGTACGCGGATGGACTGGGGGAGCGGACGAGAGGAACGAAAGGGGTAGGGCGAAACGAGAGGAGCAGCAATGCAAATATTCGCGGCGACAGAGATTGAAACAATCCGCCAATTAGAATCGTCGACGTGAACGGGATTATGCAGATTCGCGGTGGGTGCGCGGACAGAACCAGGAACGGACTGGCAGCTGCCGCACCGCTCGCTTAATTCAATCCACCGAGTTGTCTTATGAATCGTAAACCGGCCTTTCCCCGTGAAACTGAAACTACGTCGCGAGAAGACGCCGAGGAAAGCGTCGTCGACGTCGAGCGACGCCACGACCGTCCGTGTCCTTG